TGTTTCTCTGTTTTTTTCAACAGTTTGATTGGCACATAATTCACTTGTCATACAATTCAATGGTTTAGATATATTTAAAAGGGTTGGCCAGTCATCTGCAATAGATTTTAGAACTTTCCTTCATTCTTCTAGCCATTATTAGCTCCCCATTACCCTGCAACCTCCCCTGCCACAACCCCTAGGAGCTATGGGTCAGTTCCTGTCGATAGATGTACCCACCCTGGATTGCATACAATGAGAACCATACAAAACGAAACATAGAAAACCTCGATCCTAAAAAAAAAAAAAATAGAAAGAAAAAACAAAAGAAAACCTTGATCCAAGTGAAGGCAGAAGATACTAGAAACTAGAACAAATTAAAAATGGGTCATGAGGAAAAACAAGTGGTAAAATGTTAAATTTTCATCTATTATCTGTAATCCACTTTCCAGTGCACTCTATCTGAGGCAGGACTTCACATCCCTCGCCAGTGGTCCAAAGGAATTCAGTAGAGGCTTGACCCCCACGGGGACTCTGCAAATGGATTTTGGCCTTTCTTCTTCTTCTTCTTCTTCGTTTTTTTTTTTTCTTCTTTAGCTGTAATTCATAGCCTTCTACAAACTAGGTGCTCAAAATTTAAAGCTCTAATACACTTCCGTCTTCTGATCCTGGATTTTATTACTTATAATCCTTGGTTCACACAGGCTTGTGTGCTCCTTCCATGTGGTCTTAGGGAGCACCTCACTTAGATGGCTGCCTGTTTTAAGCCAAGCTTTAAGACCCCAGACACAGAGCAACAAGGGATCCAAAATCAGTGGCAAGGAGGGTGTGAGAAGCCTGGTAGGGATTCAGCAAGGGCAATGTAACCGAGAGAAATCACTGAAACCCAAATGAAGGCTGAGCATGATAGTGGGACAAGAGGAAAGGAAAAGGAAATAGAGGAAAGAACTAGGGGACAAAGGGTATTTATAGAGGTCTAAAGACTGGAGTGTACATATGTAAATATATTTATATAAGAGTGTGGGGAAACAACTATATGCATATATTTATAGGTTTAGTTTTAAGGCAGCAGATGGACATTGGGCCTCCACTCTAGCACTTACTCAATGCAAGAACACGTTATTCCATTAAATTGACATTCCAGGATGCACACTTTCCCGACACAATTGCTGAAGAAAAATGTGAACATAAGCAAAGGTGGTGAAGAAAGCTGATGGT